CTCTCCTGCCCATGGCTCCAGAAATAAGGACTTAGGCTTGGATCATAAAGGGTGGGGGACCCTTCGCCAGCTGGCTGGGCTGACGAGATGAGCTGGGGTTAGAGGACCTGGCTGTATCAGTAACTAAGAAAACGGCGAAGAAACCACGCACGCAGCACACAAACATGAGTTTCCAAGATCGAGGGAGGGACTGCTCTCCGACCCCAAGGGTCAGCTCCACACGGAGCAGCGCTGGAAAGAGAGTGTGCACCCGGATTCTTTTTATTTTATTTGGGGGGAAACACACAAGGGAGTTTGATGGAATGTTCTTTACCAAATAAGGCAGGGAGTAGGGTTTCAAAGGTGGAGTCTCGCTTTGCGATATCTTGTGGTCAGCAGATTGATTGTCATCTTGGCAAGTCACACCCATCTCAGGTGCTGTGTAGGATCCCAGGCAGAGCGAGAGGAAAGGCGCACTTGTGTGGCACAGCCCAATCAGTGTGCAACGCCAGACCAGTCCCCTCGTATGCACAAATGCACAGAGCTCTTACACACAGCCCGTGGATGGCCCGTGACAGTTGGGGAAGCTGGCTTGCATGCTGTGGCTCATGCTTCCCTGTGCGCCTCAAGGTCCGTGGCTGCCAGGTTTCATGGTGGTTGGTGCCTTCACTGCTGGGATGCAGGAAGCCTGGCCTTGGAGCCTGGATTGAGATGGAGCATCATCTGGATGTCCCCTGGGGACTGGGGACCCTGAGCACCCCGCTTGGCATTGTCAGCAGTGAAGATTCAGCCCCCTGTGGCCCACTCAGGTCTCTGCCACTGTGGCTGTGGCTCTGTGATCATGGTTTCTTTGGCTGGCTCTGGGAAAGGACTGGTGTCCCCACCTGGCTGGCAGCCAACTGACTATGCATTGGGCATCATGGGATGGTTGGCACAGCATAGAACACCTTTAAATTTTAATGTGAACCTCTGATGTTGCATATTTGTATGGAACACTGGTCCCTGTGAGGCGTGTGGGGCGATCCCAGGATCCACATAGCTGGCATTAGAGTCTGGCTCTGCCACTTACGGGGGCTTGTGACATTTCCAAACCTTGATTCCTCTCTGTGGAGGCAATAATACCCTCACACTTCTGGAGGAGCTGTGACGTTGGATGGTCTGTATTCAGCCTGCTCAGTGGAAGGCAGCTCAGAGGCACCTCTCCCCTGTTCCTCAAGTCCTTGCCAGGTTGTGCCCCAGGGGTCCTGCCAGCCACACCCCTGAGTTGTTGGTATTGTCCTTTCACTGTGCTGCCTAAAATCACCTCTCAGACACAGTCCTGCTCTCCAGTCCTTCCTGTCCCCAGCTCTGTTCAGGTGGAACCCAAACTGAAACAGGCAGGTACTGCACAGTGCCTACCTGTGCCCACCCGTGCCCTGCTGCTGGTAGCACTGTGCCTCCTTAAATTAAAAATAAGGAAGTCCATCTGGTTATGGGTCAGGGAGGGACTGCTGACTGCACAGAGGGCGGGAGTGGTGGCCACAAAGGCCCTGTGGCCCCAGCTGACCCCACTGTCCCTCCTGCCTTGGGTCTGGTGGAGACAGTCTCCCGCATGACAGGCTGGACCCTAGGGGCAGGGCCAACCAGCCTGGTTCTCAGGGAAGACACAGCAGACGAGAGGAGGGGGAGGGGCTGTTGGGTTGCCCGATTGCCTGGGTCTGGTCTGGTCCTGATAAAACATACTTGGGAAGTTTCACTGTTGCCTCCATGTCCCCACAGTGTCCCCTCCCCGCGTGACCACAGAGGTCAGCAGTGACTGGAAGGGAACACATCCTTCAGCCACTGAGCCGCCTCTCGGGATTCACGCGATCCTCTGGGGATCCTTGTTTCCTCTGGGAGCCGCCCGTCCTCAGAAAGGAATGGGGCCAGGCTGCCCCCTCTGCCTCCCGCCCCTTCCTGCTCACAGCCACGAGGAGCAGGAATATCGAGCCACTGTCCTCAGGCTGTGTGTGTGCACCTGCCGAGTCCCCCTGGCCTGGCTAAGGGACCCCCGACTATTGTCTGCCTGAGGCCTCGAGGCTGCATTTCTGGGGTGCTCCCGAGGACCCACTTGGTGGGGCTTTTCTCCTCCAGGGGGTTCATTCCTTGAGGAGAAGCAGGCAGGGACCTCAGAGTCCTGGGCCAGGTCCCTCCTCCAGAGGGGACGCAGAGCCCTCTGGGGCTGGAATTTCCTGGGGAAGGGCAAAGCTGCAGGAAGCCAAGGGTTTTCGGTGCCTGGGGCTTGCTACTGTCAGCTGCTTGTGCAGAGAGGGGAATGGTTTTCTATTAAGCAAATGAAGTATCTTTGTCACTGTAGACCAGAATAGGACATGTGGCCCTCACTGGCACTTCAGTTTGCTACTTTTAAGGAATTCTGTGTTGTCACGCGGCCCAGATGGAGATGCTGATTTGATTCTGGCTCCTTCTCTGAAGTCTCTTCCCCCCTACTTTCTTCTTTCATCTGTATAGACCATATGTTGCCCTTCTTCTTCCAGAGAGGAGGGGACTGTGGAAGGGAGCCTGCAAGCCAGCTGGGAAGGGCTCAGGTTTGGAGTCAATCTCCTGCTCCGAACCTCCTTCTCCGTCAGTGACCTTGTGCAGACCTCTTCCTCCTGCCGAGCCTCGGTGTCCCCATCTGCAAAATGCTCTTCTTAATAAGCCTCCTGTCCCTGGGAGTCTTTGCCAAGGTCGAGGGCTGGAGTCACTGCAGGAATGCCTGGTGGACTGTGAATCGCGCCACACGTGTTCGCTGTTAGCAACTGGAGCAGTGCTCTGTGACGTGTGGGGCTCAGGGAAGACGCTGGCCACGAAAAGATAGGAGCCTTCTTTTGTTCGGGGGTGACCACGGGTCACACACGTGACTTTGTTTCCTCCCTGGAGCTTCCTCTGTGGTGGCACTGTGTCTCCTGCTGAAGAGGGAGCCCAGATGAGTGGGGCAGGTCCCTGGCCATGCAGGGCACACGGGGCGGGCCCCACACTGGAGCCAGGCTCCCAGGATGGTGCTCCTGACCACTGTGCTCTCTGCCCAGAGAAGGTGGCCGGGCCCTCCCGACTGTGATCTCAGTACTACTTGCCACTACCACTGGGCACCCTGATCCCGCATGTTGGTCTCATCTTGTGAACCTTTATTTTTTGGTAGAACCCCTTATCTCCCTCCCACACCAGGCTCAGTGTCACCAACAGTTGTGCTACAGTCTTCCTGAATAACTAAGGTCTTTTGGGCACACTGCTTGTCAGCCTCTTTTGGAAGTGGCCATCTTGTCTGTGGTGGACACTGGTCATGACATTCCTACCCAGAGAATCAGGACCGCTGCAATGGTGATCCTGAGGAGGTATTGATGTGACTAGGTCTCTGAGTCGGTCCTCTTCCAGCCATTATGAAGTGTCAGTTTTCTGGCTTCTAGACTCTAAAGGGGACACCCATTTTTCTAAGTCTGTTTCAACTTACATGAGAAATGAAAGCTATTCCCAGAGGGCATCACCCAAGAATACAACAAAAGAGGATTTCCCTGGGTTGGGCCCAATGTTCCTTGTCATTTCTTGAAGAATTAGGGTTTTCTTGGGAAGCAGGTGACTAGTAATCTGAAATCGCTTCATTAATTGGTACAAGTCACAAGCTGCTTTTGACTTTTTAGCTTGCAGTTTAAAATCTCTTTAATTTAGAGACTCTTATTCTTCGAGTGTCTCTCCTCGTGGATCTGCCCTCCTTTGGCTTTTGTCCTTTTGGCCACCCAGTCATTCATCCAGCCTGTTATGCAC